ACCACACCAGGTAAACACTGTCAGAGGGGGTGACACCAAAATGATTGTCTATAAAGTTGTTGTGCAGTGTTTCAGCAAAAATTCATTATTTTTTAATAAAAATATCCCTGTATTAGTTGTAACAACAAAAACATTTTTTCATAAGTCCAGCTTACATGTATCATTGTTGTTGTTGTTATGTGCTGTCCAGTCGGACCCGACTCATAGCGACCCCTCCTTGTGTTGCCGAGGCAGTATCACTACAGAAGTAGATTGCCCAACCTTCCTTCTGAGGAGTGGCTAGTGGGTTTGAACTGCCAGCCTTCTGGTTAGCAGTCAAGTGCCTTAGGCACTATGCTACCAGAGCTCCTACATGTATCATTATTACCCATTATTAGAATCACATGGTTTCATCTGCAACACTATTAGCACATACTGTTGTTTTCATCGTTGCCAGTGTTTTTATAGTTGCTGATATTGTCAAATTTTCTGGTGTTTTAGCTACTGTATTGTGGTAATTAGTATTTGTGAATCTATATCAATAACTTTTTTGAGAATTAAGTAATAATTAAAGGAAAAGAAGAAAAATCAAAAAGGCTTCTGTTCAGTTATTAATGAAGTTGTAATTAATAATGTAATTTGATGTAGAAAGACTTTACAAAACAGTTTTGTTGTTAGCATTCATATAACAACAGCATAACATAAGAAATACTACATTTAGGCATTTTACAAATATATTTAGCACATACTATTCTACGATTAAACTGATAATAAACATTACAAAGGAGTCTGTATGGTCTGGTACAGGAGGAAGTCCATGGGGTGGAGGGTAACACCAGAAGTTACTGCAGCGGGTGACACCAACCCTAGTGACACCACTCTTGGAAAACAAATAAATTAAAAAAAAAAAAATTCACTCACAAGCTCTATTGCCTGAGTCCAGAGCCTCTTGAGACTGGATCCTTTAGTGCTAAGCAAGGAAAATGGAAGCATATGATCCCTGGGAAGTCTTCTTTGTACTACAGATCCTTACTGTGGAGTATAAAGTGTTTTCTTTTTTTAACCATTGTAAAAAATACATACATAAATAAAACTTGCCATTTTAACCATTTTTAAGCTTACAATTCAGTGGCATTAATTATATTCACAATGTTGTACAATCATCACCACTAATTAGGGTATATAGAGTTTAAGTAACATGCATTCAGTCACAGAACTAGCAAATGTTAGATCCATTATTCAAATCACAGCCCTGCAATGAAAGTAAAACTAGCAGTTTGGGAGATAGTTGTCGAAACAGATTCATCTCGGCCAAATCAAAAAACAAACGCACTGCCATTGAGTCAATTCCGACTCATAGTGACCCGTAGGACAGAATGGCATTGCCCTATAGGCTTTCTCAGGCTGTAAATCTTTATGGAAGCCCACTGCCTCATCTTTCTCCTGCAGAGCGCTGCTGGACTCAAACAGCTGACCTTTTGATTAGCAGCCAAAAGCTTTAAACACTATACCACCAGAGCTCTAAGTGACTATACTTTTCTCCAACATAAAACTAAAATAGAAGCACACTATGTCATCCAGATAGGAACAGAAAGGAACTTGTCTTGACCTTGCTTTTTCTCAGGTATGTTTTGACCTAATAATTAATTATCACAAGCCAGACTTCATGAAAGGTTTTGGCTAACTCACGCTACATGTAGAATTCTGAAATTTTTCAGAAATTTAATTTGAAGTGGCCTCAGCTTAGACACATCTTCAGGAGAATGACTCAAGCAAAAAGTTATAAATCATTGAAAGGTGAAATTATATGCCTATCTCATGATCAATTAAAGAAAATTAACCCCAGATGAGTTAAGGACTCTCAAGATCGAAACTTCAAGATTATTAGTAGAAAGTACAATGAATACCTTTTAATCCTCAGGCTAAGAAAGACTTTCTTAAGCAAACATTTACTACAAAGACTAATAAAATTGATTATATTAAAATTAAGAAATGGAAAAAAATGGAAGGACATTATCAATTGGAAAAGATTCACAATACACACACCTGACAAAGAATTGGTAAAAGAGGGTGATGGAGAACATGTGAATGCGAGGTTTTCATGTATTATTTTATATTCTCAGGATGTTTTTACAACATGTATGTATTACTATGGAGATTTATAAAATCAAATTAAACAAATATAAACAGCCACTAAAGTTAAGTGCAGTATCTCCTCTTGATTTGCCTCTCACAGATCCTATCTACTCCTGAAGCCTAGATTTTGTGGAGGAGGGAATGTAATCTAATAAAACTATTCTCCCTTCTGGAAATTGAAACTTTCTAATTAAAAGATTTTAAAAAGAAATTATACCTACTTTTAAGGAAAGCAAAATTTGTGTAGCAGATTCTATCCATTCCAAAATAATAACAAAGCAATATTTATGGAAATACACTAACAAAGGTGTAAAAATATATACAGTTATGATAGATGTTGATTTCATGATAATTTCTCCCAAGGAGGGAAAGATACTTTAGTGATACACATTTTCAAGAAGGGAGAAGCAGGCAAATGTGGGGAAATGTTAGTATCTGTTAAATGAGAGTAAGGAGAGAATTCCATACAATCTCACTGCCTTCAAGTTCATTTCCACTCATAGCAACCCTGCAGGACTGAGTAGACCTGTCCCATAGGGCTTCCAAAGCTATAAATCTTTATGGAGTCAGATTGCCGCAACTTTCTCCTGGGAAACTGGTAGGTTCCAAGTAGGTATATTTTGGTTAGCAGCAGAGTGCTTTAACCACTGTGTCACCAGGACTCCTAAGGGAGAACTACATAGGTGTTATATTACTTTTTGGATGTGTGAACTCTTCCATAATTTAAAGTTATAATTAAAATAAAGGACACTGGGAAGAAACAAGCCTCAATAGCAATTGTGTTTTAGGATGATGGCAATAAATGAGATTTGTCTATGATTGCTACATTTTCTATAATGATCAGCTCCGATACTTTACTCATAAACCACAACACATTCAGTTTTGTTAGAATAATATCAAGATGGTAACTAATCAGGAAGAGTCAGAACATAACATTGGGCTGAAGAGAGAAAACATACAGATTTGAGCTACCTACCACTGCTGGGTAACATGCAAACCTTCACCGAGGTATTGAAAGAGATCACCAATTTCAGCTCATACTGTTTATCAGCTTTATGACAGGGCAGCAGCCTTTGAGGCTAAATGATACCTTACAAAGCAGAGATGACTGAGGGTGACGCCAAGCTGGAGTTAAAAAACTTATATGTACAAGCGGGAAGAGGAGTCCCAGTGATTGACTCAGAGCAGAAAGTGTTCCACAGCACCACCAAGTCTGGACTCCAAGAGGCGATTGAACCTCCTCACCGCGAGGGGTGGGGAGGTGTGTGTGTGTGTGGGGAGGCGGTGTGAGGAGCTCTGGAAGGGGTGGAGCTGGTCAGAAAACTGTGAAGGGACGCTGGGCTTTGCCAGAATCCATGTGAGAACTGCTTCCAGTTTACTCTGGTTTTGCCCTGCTGTCAACATGGTCAACTGGCGAAGAACAAGGCTCCGGGAATTGATGGCATACCGATTGAGATATTTCAACAAACAGATGCCCCATTGGAGGCGCTCACTCAGTTATGCCAAG